ATGATGTCTATCCTGCAAAATACTGTTCTTATTAGTTTAAACAATATATGTAAAATTGTTTACCCTCATACATATTTTAAAATTCTAACTAAAACAACCCTGAAATACCACCTCTGTTACAGACTAATCAAAGCTGGCAAAGATGCAGTGAGATGAACCCTCTCTTATCACAGCAGGTGAGGCTATAAATTGTTACAACCATTAAAGAAAGTAACTTGACAGGTTAATCAAGGGCCTTAAAATTATTCATATCTTTTTGTCCAGTAATTTCACTTCCAAGAGAAAAATTATGACAAAGATATTTGTTGAAGCTCTTTTATAGTAATGAAATTTTGGAAAAAATACAAATGTCTATCAATAGGGTACTAACAAAATAAGTCACATTTCAAGTCCTAGATATTTGTTATTTGCTGGCTGCCCTTTTGGGATATTTCTTATTGTGTATAGTCTTATTGGGAGGTTACCTGCCAATCCAGACATCAGGGGGGTCAGAACCTCTCTTCTCCCCAGCAGCCCAGGGACAGCCATCTGAGCCAGACTCTTCCAGTCATTGTCTCTCAGGACTCTCCATCTTGGGTTAGTGAAGAATTATAAGTTTATAAAGTATAACCTTTACTTTAGCTACTTCCTGGTGTGGGGAATGTGTGTGTGTGTCTGTGTTTCTGTGTGTGCATGCGTGTGCAAAAGTGGAGGGAGAAAGACAGGGAGAGAGTATGTGTGTATAACATCAATGTTTTTCTAAGTCTCATCAGAGGTGGGTCTATTTCACTGTTTTCCCTTTTTTTTTAAGATTTTATCTATTTGTGTGTGTGACAGAGAGAGAGAGCTAGCTTGAGCACAGGAGCAGGGGGGAGGGCCAGAGGGAGAGGTAGGAGCAGACTCCCTGTTGAGCTCCATCCCAGAACCCTGAGATCATGACCTGAGCCAAAGACAACCACTTAACCGACTGAGCCACCCAGGCACCCCTATCTTACTATTTTCAAAGAAGCATCTTTTGGTTCTGTAAATGATCTCAATATTGCAGAGGGAGGTTGTTCATTTCATTGGTTTCTGCCATTATCTTTATGATTCCTTCCTTCTTGAATGCAGAAGGTATGTGCCATGCACCTGGTCAAACCCATGCCCTGTGAGTTTCCTACATGGTGAGTTCTATGACCCAAGGTGCAAGCCAGAAACTCATCTTCCCAGCTTCCCTTAGCTAGGCTTCATACCTGAGAATTAGACTCTGTCAATCAGACTCACTCATGTGAGGCTTGGGTTTGAAAGAGAGTAACACTAGAAACCAGGTGCCACACATGGAATGCAGAAACTCCTTTCTGGCCAGGGTGGCCCCAGGGGCATTAATTAGTCAAGGAGACCCTGAAGTCCCACAGTAGGTATCAGTGGTGCCCAGTAGTGGTTGTAAGTACAGAAAAGTCTTTGCATGGCTATTTTGTGGTGGGGTTTAATTTTGTTCTGGTGATGCAGCATGTTCTGGTGATGCAGCAAAACTGACTCTTCAGCCCTCCCAAATCAAAGTCTTTAAATATCCTTTAATAAGTGTATTTTCTGCTGAATCTAGTCAGTGTGGACTTTGTTGTTTCTACATAAGAATTCAGACTGATGCATTGTTTCTTTGGATTGCCTTACTACTCTTATTCTAGCTTCTTGAGTTGAATCATTGGCTTTCTTGCTCTCAATCTTTCTTAATTTCTGATAATTGGTTTTGAAGCTATAAATTTCTCTTTAGGTAATGCTTTACCTGCACTTTGAGGTAGAGTGTTTTCTCTGTCATCAGCTCTCAGTATTTCATGGTTTCCCTTGTGATAAGCTTTTTAATTCAATCATTATTTCATACTTTAAAAAATATACTCCCAAACATGATTTTTTAGATTATCCTTTTTATGTCCTTGTTATAAACACCTAAATTTATTGCATTGCAGTGAGTGAATATGGTTCATAAGATGCTAATTCTTTGGAATTTATTGAGACTTCCTTTGTGGCCTAGAACATGGTCAATTTTTGTGAATGTTCCTTATGTGCTTTAAAAAAAATATGTTTACTTTGTATTCATTACCAGCGGTTTCCAAATGGAGCTCAGCTGATGGGCCACACTACACTCATATGGATCACTCTTTAAAAATAGAGTGCCATAGACCTCATTCTAAAATACTACATCCAAACCTCTGAGGTGAGACACTCAAATTAGTGTGTCAAGCAGCAACTCAGTTAACTCTAAAGCGGAAATTTTAGGAAGCACTCTCCTTTGCTCCTACCCCACCATGCCCTCACATTCAGATAGGATCAGAGATATAATTTCAGACAAATAGAATCCTGTAATTTTGAAGAGATTTCATGTCTTTTCATGGTACATTTTCTTAATATTCAAAATCACCTATATTAGATTATTCTTCCTTATACTTAGCCTAAAGGTTTCATGCATACTTTCTATTCTATATGCATTTCCCCCTCCTTTCGTAAAGAACCCAGATTTCATTTCTTAATCACATGACACACGTGAGACCCATGAGATCATGTAATTTAGGGGGAAAAGAGCTCCAGAGAGGTAGCCTAAGTAGTCCAAATCAAACCTATGATACTTGCCTATTACTGGCTTATATGATTTTTGAATGACATTCTGCTGGAGACTGTTACTGATCCAGAGAGATGCACGGGCTCTAAATTGGTCCTAAAAGATGAAGAGAGGTACACTTTCATTTCTCTGTTGGAAGAGAAGACTTTTTTTCCCATATATATCCTTTTGAATGCAAACAGCGAAGCCCATGGTGCCAGCTGATACTATCTTACAACCAGAACATGAACAAGTTAGGATGAAGTGGATTCTGTGGCCAGCAGAGTAGAAAAACAGATAACTGAGCTGATATGACTTAGCTGCTAACACAGCTCCCAAACCTGCCCTACACTAACATTTCCAGCTACATGAGATAATTCAATTACTGTATTGGTAAGGATTTCTGTTCCTTGCAGCCTGAACCATCCTAACAAGATAACATTCTTCGTTCCTTTTCACTATAGATTAAAAACTCAACAACCACTTTTGATTTTCAATGGATCTTTCACCTGAAGACCACAAGTAAAATCCCTCATCAGCTTTTTTAAACCAAATGCTCCCAACTCTGTCATCTTTTTATCACGGGTGTCATCCTTCATCCTTTTAATCAAGGCCCAACTCCCCTCGAACCTACTCAGGTCCTCCTCTAGCATTCTCAGTTCCAGACCTCCATGCATGACCAACATCATATGAATAGTACTGAGCTCAACAAGAATTTCCTCCAATCTATCATTTACCTATTCTAATCCTGAAGTCAGACTTCAGTGCTTACAGAGTTTATTAGGATTCATGTGACTCTGTGACTAAAATGAGAACAATCAGCATACCTATAAACATATGTCACTAAAACAGGAGTGCCTCATGGAAAACTGAAGAAAGTCAGGTGGTTGATTTTGTGCCGTATTGTAAAATGCTTGTGGCAATGTCATATGGCCATTAACAGAATGGTAGGTATTTGCAGGGGTGAATACCTAGAAAAAGAAGAGCCCAGGTATCAAACCTGATCACTATTTATTAGCGCTGTCTCTCTGATTCTGAACATCTGGCACCTAGAATAGGGAATGCCAGTTCAGGCACCCAGGTCCTCTTGAAATCCATTAAATGTCCCAAGATCATTCCTTGATGTCTATATCTTCTGCTCCATCTACCCAGATCTTCCTACAGCTGGTTGCTCTCAGTCATCAAGTCTTGGATCCATGTCACCCCAGGGAAGGCTTTTCCGACCACCCAACATCCATTTCTCTACTCCACCTCCCTGTTATATTATCATCATGTATTACTGAAGAAGAACAGAATACACCACCCCAAAATATGCCACTTTGACATAAGGATTATGTTGACCTGATTATTTTTAAGAGAGAGCAGACACAGGGCACCTAGGTGGCACAGTCAGTTAAAGCATCTGACTCTTGGTTTCAGCTCAGGTCTGATCTCAGGGTTTTGAAATCGAGCCCCAAGTTGTCCTCCACGCTCAGAGCAGGGTCTGCTTGAGATTCTCTCTCCCTCTACCTCTGCCCTACCTCTCTCATGCTTTCTCTCTCTCTCTCAAATAAATAAATACATCTTAAAAAAAAAGAAAAGAAAAGAAACAGCAGACTCAGGAGAAGCTCTGAAAACTGAGCAGAAATTACCCTTTGTAAAGGACATTTACATTTATAAGGGAAATCTCCATTTTTAAGTATCTCCCACTCTGTACCAGGAAGAGAAGGATAACCTAAATCACAAGAAACTCTTAGCATTGGAGAAAGCACCTATTTAAATCTGCATAACAAATCGATCCTTGTTTACTGTGTTTTCCCTGATGACCTCCCACAATTAGCTCTAAACCCCTTCCCCAAATCTTTCTTTTTTTTTTTGCCTTTAGCTTTAGATGATAGTTAAGGTGGTGGGTGGGGCCATTTCAGGGAGTTACTCAGTTTTCCTATGTCTCTCGCATGTATACAGGGGACATATATTTTTTTTGTTGTTATTTTCTTTTGTCGATCTGTCTTTTATTATAGGGAGTGGGGTGGTCTCAGCCACAGAACCTAGAAGAGTAAAGGGAAAATTATTTTTCTCCCTTTACATTACTATCAGAAAGTTTCTCATTTATGTATTAACTTGTTTATGGCCTGCCTTCATACCATTTTCCTCTATCTGAAAGGGTTTTTGTATACTTGTTTGTTGTCTATTTCCCCATCCCTCAAATTTAAGTTTTGAAAGCAGACACTTTGGGCGCCAGGGTGGCTCAGTTGGTTAAGCAACTGCCTTCGGCTCAGGTCATGATCCTGGAGTCCCGGGATCGAGTCCCGCATCGGGCTCCCTGCTCAGCGAGGAGCCTGCTTCTCCCTCTGACCCTCCCCCCTCTCATGTACTCTCTCTCATTCTCGCTCTCTCAAATAAATAAATAAATCTTTAAAAAAAAAAAAAAAGAAAGCAGACACTTTGATTGTCTTCCCCTGAATGTTTCCCCAGCACCTAGCACAGTGCCTAGTATAGAACAGCACTTGGAAATGGTTTGTGGAAGAGAGGCATTGGCTGATCAAAAGAGAATCCCAGGGACTGGGCAATTCCCAGCTTCCAACAGTGTTGTCAGCCCATGCTCTTATCTCCTTTGCTTCTCTCTGGGGTTGGTTCTCTTCTCTTGTAAGTGGGCTTCCACCAAAGAGCCAGGGAAATGGCAAGATGGCCACAGGAAGTTCCATGGATGTTTCCTTATGGTTCCTGATCCAGGAGAGAAGAGAGTAAGCATCTCTTATTATCTTTTTTTTTTTTTAAGATTTTATTTATTTATTTATTTGAGAGAGAAAATGAGAGAGAGAGAGAGCAATGAGAGGGGGGAGGGTCAGAGGGAGAAGCAGACTCCCTGCCGAGCAGGGAGCCCAATGCGGGACTCGATCCTGGGACTCCAGGATCATGACCTGAGCCGAAGGCAGTCGCTTAACCAACTGAGCCACCCAGGCGCCCCTCCTCTCTTATTATCTTTAAGGTATTATCCCAGAGGATTCTAAGTGACTGAGGTCGATCCCATGCCCATGCTTGGCCAACCACAATGGCCAAAGGTTTGCGATAAAGACCGGCACAGATTGCATAACCACCCCAAGTCTGGGGGTGTCCTAACAGTGGGACTACACCAGCACAACAGTGAGTGGGAGGAAAGAAGTTCTTAAGGATACAGAGATGTTGCCACCAATAGAAGGAAGAGAAAGATGCTAGGCAAACCAGAGAAACATATATCTAGAAAATTCTTTAGATATAGCAAGGATTTTTTAAGTACGTTTTTATCCTATTCTCTGACACTCTGCTTTCTTTTGAAACTCCCAGTTATTAATGAAAGTGTCAAACTGTCCTGTCCTCAGGGTTTACTTTCAATCTTCCAATGACTCCACTGTCATAATTTCAAAGAGTAAAGATGTGTTTACCTCTCTCTTTAGAGGATTAATGGGAAGGTTAATAGACTTTTGCTAAGTTATTCGTGTTCTCTAAAAAAGACAAGGTATCATAAGTAAACACAATGTAAGTTATCACACAAAACTAAAAGTGAAACTTAGAATATTTTAAAATCATTTAAATTTTCAAAGTTTAATCATTTTCTTAAAGTAGCATTAAAGCCTTAAGAAGTAGATTACATGAAGGTAACTTTAATGATGCAAATGGACTTCTCTACATTATTTGAGTAACATGATTTCTTCCACTCTCATCCATTGAAATTCCACTTTAACTCAAGGTATGAAAGTAAATTGCCCTAAGTCATTATATAAGAAAAGGGAATGAAAAATAAAGAAAAAGTGTAAGTAATATAGACCAGGAAAAATATTTTTAAGTGGTATTACCTCTACTACCCAACTCTGATCTTCACTTTGAAGAAATATCTAAAGTCCAGACATCAATCAAATCTTGATCTTAAAACAATTTCCTAGTCAGAAAGGGAAAAGGAATACATTAAAATGAATTCAAAACACTCAAAATTATGTAGTATTCTCACATTACTATGGATTTACATATAATCCATGATGTTAGAAAATGAAAAGCAAAAAAAAACCACACACACACACAAATTCTCATCATAGATAACCTGCATCTATATTCTTTTCCCTTTTGTTAAATCTCTATGCTCATAAAATGCACACCAATTCAACTACATTTTTTTGTAACTGATTCACAAATGGAAAGGACTTCAGGCTCAGATCTTTTCTGAGAGCCCACCAACTGCAGAAGTGTTCACAGGTAGAATCCACAAAACAAGTTTATTAAATTCCATTTTTGCTGAGCTCAGTAGGGCCAATTCTCTCAGCCTGATGCCAACATACACCCTCCATCTACACAAAGTAACCAGAGATGGGTGATACTTAAATCTACTCTTCCAGATGGAAAGTGCTACCTACAAGAATCTGTCATTCCCTACCCTCTTTACTTTGCCCCTCTCTGTCACCAGCTCAGATCCCCAAATGCATGCCATCCCCTTATTCAAGAACAGCATCACTGTCCAAAAGACCTAATTGTCCCTGCCTCTCCCAGGCTCCCTCCCAAAATCCTGTCTGCCCTGTTGGCCTATTTAACTCTCCACACCCATTTTGTTCCACGGCATGGGTCCTGGAGGTTTAGTTTATATTTTCCTGTCTTCAAACAGCATTTCCTTTTGATGGGGGAAGAAAAACACTTTGAGCCCCCCCTTTTTTTTTCTTAATGAAAAGTTGACAAATGAAAACTCACAGTTTTTCAAATTCTTAGCATTTTAACTCCAGAGACTTGAAGAGTAAATAGGTGAATATCTGACTCACCAAGTAGGTCAGTCTCTTTTAAAGCCAAGAACTAGTCACAGCTGAGTCTCTCATTAGCCTGGGTTCTGGGCAACACTCCACTAGCAACCTCATGGCCTAGCTAACAACCAGCAAGAGCCAAACAAAAGGGACATTTGCTTTTTCCAAAAATATATTATCCCTCCAATTGGGAAAATAAAATTCTGAATCTACCCTAGAACCATGTTGATAGGGAAAGTCATGTGGATCCCTCCAATTGGGAAAATAAAATTCTGAATCTACCCTAGATCCATGTTGATAGGGAAAATCATGTGGATCGTTACAATTAAACAGACAGCAAAATTACATATAAAAACACGTCCGCCACCAACCTGGACATGAAACCTTAGCTGCAAAAACCAGTAATGAAAAGAAGGAAGAAAAAGAACCAGAATAAAGAAAAACTATTTTTTGTGCCAGATCCTTTAAAGAGTAAGAGTTTATGTGAATGATTTGTTTAAACGGCTATTAAGCTGCTAAGGTGTTTATATATGTAAAATATGCATATTGGAGGAAGTCAGCTGGTAGCTTCACCCTCCTGAGGGAAAATCCGAAGTTCATTACCAATCTTCGGTCTACCGCAGAGAAGTCTGTAAACCCCAGGGGCTTGGAATTCTAAAAAGGCCATTCAAGCCTCAGGTGGACTTCGCGTTTCTCCGTTTCCCTGTCCTTCCGCTTTTCTTTCCTTAAAAATTTTCTTATAGGATTTGCATTTGATGAGGTTCAAGAGGTCACTTCCCCTCTCCCCCTCCTCCTACTGGGCCGGCAGAGCAGCCGCGTCCAGGAAACGCGGTCCTAGCCGCAGTGGCCAAGAGCCGGGGCTCTGCCTGACGTTTTGCCCCTGCTGTCCTGCGGCCGCTGCGGGGGACCTTTTCGCCCTCGGAGAAGCCAGCCTGCCTTTTTTACTCAGGCCCCCAGTCCCGGAGAGGCCCGCGCCGATCCCAAGCAAAGGCCGACAGCCGAGGAACGGCCGTTTATTGCCTGCCTTTTCCAAGCAGTATTTGGAGATAGGTCCTGGACGGAGATAAACCTGGACAACGATCATACAGGGGAAACGTCGAAGGCACTAAAAATGCTCTCTCCGCTTTCCACCCCCCAGCTTCTGAACTTGTCGCCCTCTGTGCCCCGCGTTTCAGTTCCACTCTGCCCATGATGGGCACCCTCCCACTTTGGGGTTGCAGTAACGTACCGCTGCCCAAGGGAGCCAACACCGCCCCCCCCCCCCCCCCCGCCAAGCAATCTGACCGCATTGGGCGAACCGAGTGACGCGGCCAAGGCACGGAGAAGTAGCCCCAAACCAAGTCGGACGCCAGCCACCAGTCCCCTTCTCGCAGAGCTGGACCTGTCCCAAAACGCATTAGCCCAGACTGCTCTTAGGAGCCGCTCCGCCGCGACGCGCGGCTGCTCCGGGCTTGAGCCTTCGGCCCCAGGGTCCTACCCGGGCCTTTCTGTACTTTCTCCCAGGTCCGTTTCTAACTCCTAATTCTTAATCGAATCCCAAAACTAAAACAAAGCCCTAGAATTTGGTTGGGGCTGGGACAGGCGGAGTGCCCAATTCTCTTTAGGCCCCGCGGACCACAACCGGAAGTCACCCCGGATAAAGCTCTAGGGCTGCGCTGGCCAAAGGGGTCCCAGGTCAGAGGAATCCGCACGGTTTCCGGGCCAATGTTTGTGGAGCGCTCCCCACGTGCTGCACGCTGTTCTACGCGCTTGGCTTGTATTATTTCGTTTAATCCTCCTAGCAACTCTATGGGTCAGCTATTATTATAATCCCAATTACAGAAATGACAAAACTGAAGTCCGGAACAAAAAGTAACTTGCTTAATGTCAGATAACTAGCATGTGCAAGGTGTATGGGCGAGGAGATACACACACACAAAATGGACTAAAAGCATTTACGACCTTAGTATTTCAAACTGCAGGTTACATTTTCAGAGTCAGAGCTTCGTTAGCCCAGTGGGGTAGATGGAATAGGGGTGTCGAGCGGTGGCCCTTTCGTAATCCCGGCATCCAGGAGGGTAGGGACCCAGCCTTCTGCCCCCGGCGCTGCGGTTATTGTGGACCGCGAGGATTCTTCCCTTGCCACTCCACCTCCCGCAAGACGGTCCAGAGCCTGCGCCTGTTGCAAACGGGAAATGGAGGGAAAACGAGGAAATTTCCGCCTAAAACAAGCAAACGCCGCAGGTTGCGTTGCTGGCGGCCCACGTCCGCGAGGAATCTGCGAGGAGCCCTTGCAGCTCGAGGCAGCGTGCAGGCAAGTTTTTTCTTCCGCGCTTTTACGCTTTTCCCACGGGATCTCGAAAACCTCGAATGCAAATCAGCTGTCGGTGGCTGGACCCCCAGCGAGCCAGCTTAAGTCCCACATACTTGGGCCGCCCGCGTGCCTAACATTATCAGGAGGGAGCTTCCGCAAGGCACTCGGACAAGGGACTCTCTACCCTACTCGAGTGAAGTCCTCTGACAGAGCTCAACTACACACACACACACACACACACACACACTCACACACACACACTCCCTCTCTCTCTCTCACACACGCGCACACACACACACACACTCACCGCGCCCTGGTCACGTGCCCTACTCAGGCCATCAGGCATTGACCCACCGCACTGAGAGGGCGTGCGTCCGAGCCCCGCTGCTACGAAAGAGTCAGATTCCTCCAAGGGCCGCGTGATCCAGTCTAAGGGAAACGTTCCCCCCTCCCCGACCCCACCCGGAGTATTTGCCCTACACTGTGGAGCCACGCAGCGCCACCCACAGCCTGAAAACATACCCGGAGACCAGAGACCCCAGCCCGCAGAGGCGGACTTAAACTTGTCGACAGTGGACCCACCATCATTTCCTTATTAGGGACAAAACCAATCAAGCATTTAAGAGATTGCCCAGGGAAGGAAAGATCCCGAGTACGCATAAAATTTACAGAAGTACCTTAAAACTAAACAGCAATTTTGTTGGATTGGGCCAAAAATAGTATAAATGTGTATATGTCAAAATGTTAATACTTTTACAGTTTTCATCCCATCTTTATAATCATCGCAGGAGGAGGCATTATTTTAAATTTTTTATTATTATTTCCACTTTACCCCCCCCCAAAAAAAAGTAGGAATTGAAGCTCAGACTCAAGGTCATCAGGAGCAGGTGCAATTGTCAAACAAAATCTGAGGCTACTATATCACCACATCACTATTCATCTGCTCAAGTTTGCCCTGAGGGTGAGGGAAATGCTAAGAACAAAGGTAACCTGTATTACTGGGGGAAGGAGAAAAAATAAGACAAATCAATAACAAATATTTCTGAAATATATGTACAGAGTCCTGGTGTGAACTGGGGGCTGGGGATACAAGCCAACCAGTGCCTCCTGGTCCACCCCCCAGGACCTCTTTCCTCCTCCAGCCTAGTCCAAAATCTTTTCACAAACACTTCCAAACAGTATGAAAAATTCTTTTCTGGGTAGCCACTGTCTGGGTTAATGATTCAGAAACTACTATATAGTCCACATGGATAAACATACACACACATACGTCAAGATAGATATATTCAAAGGTCACGTATGATCTTGCAATAAAATAAATTTTATATGTGTGATCTGATATGCATGTATGGAGACAGTGTGGGATTAACTCTGGCCACTGAACAAATGGCTGAACCCCTTTCCACAGCTTACTGCTAAAACACACACCCAGCCCCAGTGAGAGTGCGGGAGGGAAAGTTTGTCAACTTCTTGGCAGGAGAAAGCCAACATATTTGCAGCTGGAAGTCACTTGGGAGGACAGGGTAGCAGGAGGGAGAGTTCTATTTGTAAAATACACCTCCAGAACAATGCCCCAGCCCTATTTCCAACTCCCCAAGGAAGTGTGCTTGTCTGCACCGAAATATAATTTTAGGTATGAGAGCTAGAACTGGTGGGTGTGTTAAGAAGTAATAAGTTGCACTTTTTAAAACATGATGTCTGGATTTGCCCTAAAATATTTCAGCAAGAAATGAAAATAGAAAGGGAAAAGAAAAATGGAGCAAGTATAGCAAAATCTTGATAATGTTAAATCTAGGTGAAGGGTATTGAAGGGAAGCCTTATTATATACCCTCTCTGCTTCTCTGTACTATAAAACTTTTCCA